GGTCATATTATGTGTAATTTAATGTAATTCCTTGTCTATATATATGTACATCTGTCTATATTTTCATCCACTTATTCATATATATTTATATCCGAAATTGATATTCAAAACTTAATTCCCTTATTTACCTAACAGTTCATTTGTCATGATGCGTTCAATATTACATCACGTGTGGTGAATTCATAATACCGGAGTGCTGATATAACATACGAGAATAAAAATGAAACTGTTTATATTGAATGTCGTCAAATTACCACTGAACGCATAGAATTTGTTAACAGAATGATTTAAGTTAGTATCTTTTTTGCAAATGAGAACTAATGCACAAGATAACATACAATGAAAATCATATTAATATTGAATGTTTCCATTTCTGGAATAATACTGTTACTTTCATTAATTGAAATAATCTTAATTAATACTATAACCGCATCACATGCTCATTATTATAAGTAAGTTACAAGTTGTGTAAGCTGACCAGGTATGTTACTTTCATGTTTAATGAGAAACTTGATAGTAAATTTATGTTAATTATAAAAATTGCATTTATTAGTGGCTAACCTTGAGACGTTCATTGTTTTATGCAAAACTTACAGAAGCTCTTAGTAAAATCTGAGAATCATACTGTGAGTACTTCATTTGCAAAATCTCAATCAGTTGTTTTAGACTTGTTCTCGTTCTCTTTTCTTCGATCTTCTTAGTCCTCTTCTGCCAGGAATTTCAATTTCTATTGATGATACATACTACTTATATCTGTTAGGGTTCAGTAGCACACAGCACACTACCACTAAATTGCGAAAAATGTATCAAGATCGGATCATTTTGATGTAATACATTGCAAACAAAACTAGTTCTGTACTTAAACATAATAAAGCCGGCTGAAAATAGACATTCATAATGTGTTTATTTTGATGAATAATTTCTACTTTAAAAAGCCCTAGCTGACCTGTCTAAGGTTTGAATATTTTCCATCGACTGTATAAACAACATGATCATGATAACTCAACGTTGGTTCATTTTTTAAAATGAAATATGTTTATATTTATTTGCTTAACTGGATAAAAAGCATTTATTAAAATTCACCACTGAAAAAAATGGTATGTAACCTCGGAAAATCTAGAAATGATTTTATTACGTGGATTCAGAAAACGGATAAATAATTAAATTTTTGAACATGTACTAAAGTAAACTTAAGTTATAATATACGGTGATACTTAGAGGTAATCGACAGGAAACCAGGTGACCTTGGTTTCATGGTATTTGGTACTCATCAGCCAGATGTACTGGTAATCTTAAGGGAACTGATACTCTCTGATGGATTCCACCTCGTGTCACCCAGTTTTACAGATTGAGATGTTACCGTCAAGCTATTCTGACCACAATCAACCTCCTGAAGGACTACTCAATACAGCAAAATCCACGTTGATATTTTATATGAGTACTCTTTGTGGCTAAATGTTTTGGTGGTAGTCATCGACTTTATAAAACTAAGGTAAAAATTTATCAGTGGGTCAGAAATAATTCCATCATAAAGGAAACTTAGTGAATATGTAAGTCGGATTTGAGCCATCTTATTTCACTGTAGTAAGCATTTTAAGGATGACTAAGAGACTATTTTAAACTGATCACATTTAATTAATCAAACTGGTTAATTTAATGATTTCAATGGTTTAACCCAAAGATTCTAGTCCAAAACATGAATGAAGTATAAGTATATCCAACAGAAATAGGATGACTTTGTTGAATTACTCCAAACTACAAAAAATAATCCTGATAATTTTAGAGAATTTATTAGCTTGTTTCAATTAAAAATCCGAAAAACACTGATTGATGGATCATGCACGACTGAGTAGTAATATTCCATGAAGTCAAGCTGGTCGATTGAGCATATTGAAATGAATAATTACCATAAAACAGAATAAACGTCTAATCTGATAACTAGTATATATTTAAAAATAGTTAACTGTTCATAATTAAACTATGCTTAGTCTTTTCTTACTTAAACTTGCTAATATACAAGAATTAATGCAATTATTTTAACATAGTTTGTTACTGTTCGCAGAAATGAGCAGTTTAAATGAAATTCGAGAGTGTAAAAACCATCAGCTACTTGAAACAAATCATGAAGAAAGCTTTAAATTAAAGTTAAAATAATGGATTGAAAATTCCGATATAATGAGCTTCAAATTGTTGTACTTGAGAAAGTATGTCTTACTTTGTCGAAGTGTAAACTATGTAAAATGTACACTAAATCTTCCTATGAGTTGTTGAACTCATACCACATAAATGATTTTATGGGTTTCCATCAAATTTTCTCATTATTGTTATTTAACATAAATTTCGGGGAACAATAAAATGGAGCAGAACTCAAAATATACGCACTGAAAGAAGCCTACAATTTTATTGAATAAATGTTCAGAAGCATTCTGAACAAACTGTAAGTGCGGTCCCCCTGACTTGATATCCATCTCATTTACTCCGCCAGTTGATTTTTCTCATCATGATGTTTGGTACGAAATACGGTGATACAAAGTAGTAAGATGACATTATACCGACAACACAATTTATGTCTTTGAGATAAAAAGATGACCGGTTATAGATTCTGCTTACCTCTGGTTACTTCTTGTCTAAAAATGACAATTATAGCTATGCCAAAAAGATATATAGTTATCCCACTGATGAGGAATTTTTGTCAAAGATATGTTTACCCAGTACATTCAACACATCACTTCGGTCCATTTAATAACGGATTATTTAACGTTTTTATGGAAATGTACAAATCTTTTTAATCTATTGTTAAACTAAGACCAATTAACTTTTTTATATATTTCATAAAATGAACTTGAGTTATCGTCCATACATAAAAAGGGTTGTGTAGATAAAATATAAAATAAACCGAACACAGTTTTTCACTTTTAACCTTGACAATATGTTGATAACATATATTTAAAATTTTGAGTAAATTGCCGATATATTTAGAGTCAGCAATTGTGATTATTCAGGTATATCTTACCTTTAATAAAATAAATTTACACAATAGTGAATATAGACAAATATAGAAATCATTACCTATTGAGAGTTATTTTTTATATTACAAATAGAATAATCTTTTCAAAAGGTTGGTTAATAAGGTATTCTCCTCAACTGGTAACCAACAATTCTGCAAGTTCATTTATAGCATACTTTCTAAACACAACCTATCAGTAATGATTTAATGATATAGTTGGTGTTGTATTTATCTCTCAAACGCTTTCATTATTTTTCTTAACATTATTTCTCTTCCTTTTTGTTTTTTTGTGATTGGTACTGAATAAGTATCTTTTTTATTTAAAACTGATCAGTACTGGTTTGAATCTAAAGAGACACTTCTTAATAACAAGTATGTAAAATGGTTGAAATGTCGAAATTCTAAAGTTTGTTGTAATTACAGCAGCCTTATGAAAAATACCCTAAAGGTCTTCATTGTTTATCGAAGTGGTATAATTGTATCACTGTGTTTTATTCCAAAGTTATTCTAGATTTTTACTTCTATAAATAGTATTGAGATAATTAGAAGTATTTGAATTATTAGACAAACTGGGAATTCCAGAAATAGTGCACTTTAAAGCCAATAGAACTAGGTGAGCACAAATGAACATATTGCATTTAGAATTCGAAATCAGGTACATATCAAGTACAAAATAATCATTAGTTCATACGGACACCACAAGTATTCAGTATTTTAGTAACATAATTTTTCATTATTTTCATGTTTTTCGTGAGCACAATCCTTTCGTATATTAATTTTTTAAATTTGTTTTGACAGTTTCAAAGTGTTGCGAATGAGAAGTTCAGATCCTCAAATTATAAATACAATTATTAATCTAAATCTTAACGAACCGGTAGGTTTCTTATCGATTTCATTTCAATGATAATACGATTTCTATGATAACCAACTTGTAAACAATAGAAATCAAGGATCTGTATTTACTTAAATTGTAGATTTGTGTAATTATTTTATCTCTTTTTGTAACAACATGATCATAACTATAAACTACGATGGTTTCCCACTAAGTTTATTTGAAATACTGATCAGTGTATTTTATTGCCTAGTTTTAATTAGCCAAGTAGTCTTTATGTATACAACAGCAAACGATATTGATGACTCCGTACAGTGAATATTTTAGATAAAGTTTAAGGCGGATCAATTAATGAAGGCTTTTTGATCGGACTATAGATGATTGGTTTAAAATGTATTCATAGGATACTAGACATTCTTAGTTGTCGCGTTTATTTATGTTTTGTCAGGGTATCATCAAGTTATCCGTATGGATATGCAAATGTCCTATACCTCGATGGATGATGTTTGCTTGTGTAGACGTTGATTAGAAAAAATTCAGGAATAGACAAACCAAAACACATCATAAGTTCATGAAGTCTATGAATATTGATCGTCCTGTCTTTTAAAACCCTACTCTAAATTTTTAGTCTTCCTCATTATCGTTGTTGAAATAGTTGTTTCAACTCCTTTGATATTGATCTCATCAATTTAATTTTGTGTTAATTTGTTTCATGGCCAGTCATACGTTTACTGAAATTGATATTTGATAATTCATTTTAAGTTCAAGAAACTGAACTAGTGATAAATTAGTAATACCCTGAATATCAATGAATGACAACACTACAATCACTGTCTTTATAACTTGAGTGTCCTTGGTATCTACGTACAGTCGACAGGGGTGAACCATGACCCTCCCAAAGATTCAGAATAAGAAACGCCTATCATTTTGATCTCTGCGTAATATTTATACCATTGGATTTTAAATCAGCGATTTAATGAGTAGCTTATATCTGTGTAACTTGAAAAGCCTAGTGTTAATCCAAAGTAGGGTTGTTTTAGCGCATATCTGAATTGTCTCACTTTAGTACGGAACACCTGCCCACTGTTTTCTAGCTTTAAGCGGTTTCACAACCGATACAGACCCTTTAACACAAATTAACCTAGACATAAAAAATATTGAAAACTATGAATCCTGAACAACACCAAATTTAAACGGAGCTACCTATCACTGCGTCTTTGTTTCGACGAGTTTTCCAGTTAATAGTTGTGCGCTGTAATTAACTTATTGAGAAACCGGCAAATAAGATATATGCTGACTTAAGAATTCAGAATTTTCTCGTAATATATATTTAAGTTTGGTTAATTTAAACAACTATCTTAGTTGTAATTCACTTGGAATTGTTTTACTTGAATCTTCCCATTGATGTTTTAGGACTGAAATTGATCAGTCTCTTATTGGTATATGTGCATACTGTGCGTATGCCTCGATATTGCCTTAATTTACAAGCATTATAAGCAAAGATGGATAGTGGCTAGCAGTGGGATCCAGGACGCGCGTTTCGTCCTGTTTGGGACTCGTCAGCTGGATGTACCTGCATCCCAGAGTTGCTGTTCGCTCTGGGACTCGAACTCAGTACCGTTCGCTTCGAGTCCCAGAGCGAACAGCAACTCTGGGATGCAGGTACATCCAGCTGACGAGTCCCAAACAGGACGAAACGCGCGTCCTGGATCCCACTGCTAGCCACTATCCATCTTTGATTATAACTATCTTAGTTGTGTTTAATTATTGTATATATGAAACAGAAATAAAATAGCAGAAAAAGGCACAGTTTGATGTAATAGTAGCAGTAGTAGTAGTCATATTAGTACTAGTAGTAGTAGTAGTAGTAGTAGTAGCAGTAGTAGTAGTCGTAGTCGTAATAGTCGTAGTAGTAGTTGTAGCTGTAGTAGTAGTAGTAATAGTAATAGTGATATTAGTAGTGTACGAAACCGTCGAGGTATTTTTCAATAGACTTGATTTAAATTTTATGAAAAATGACAAAAATGGAGAAAATGAATGGAAATTAAAAATTTCAAACAAAGCATTTGAATTCTATATTTTTATATCAGAAAACTATAATATACTAGAAAAGTGAAATGAATATTTCATATTAAGTGGCTCGTGGTAGCTAACAGGAAATCCTGTACTTAGGTTTCTCGCAATTTAGCAGTTATCAGCGAGATTACAAGTACACCTTGTTGACGTATACCAAGTAGCATGAAATTTGTGTGGTCCAGCTTTTACTACTAACACCTATCAATCACCTAACGTTCCATTGTGTTGTATGTGATGTTGACACTAGTGGTTACAATACTTGATTGGTAGAATTCAATCAGCATTAGATGATTAGACAAACATGGCATTAGTCACTATTTAATAATCAATCAATTGTAAATATTTCATGTTAGTTAACTTGTTTAAAACCTAATCATATTTTCAGATTAACTCTGTCTTTTTGTCGTCGTGTGGAACTCTTCAGCAGTGTGTATCTATAACAACAACATAGGTCAAAAGAAGGGACCTCAGGTTTCGAGATAAGCCGGCAACCAATACTTTAAGCGTCTAAATTTGAAAAACTCACAATACTGTTTTTTGAAATTTTAGGAAACATATCATTCAACATTTCGGGATTATTTTGACAAACTGCTTAACATCTGAGTATATATAATTATTCTTCCTAGTTTTTAATGGTTGACTAACTAAGACCAGTCAGGGATGCAAACTATAAAATTTAAAACTACGTTTAGTTTCTAATCATTTTCATTTGTTATTTTCCCTTGTATAGGAGAACTATGATATATGGACGTTTCCTAGAGATACAAATAACTCAATGTACATATCAGTATCTCCTGCAGGATTTCAAAATCTTACAAACTATTTACAACATTGGAATACTTCTTATGAAATAACTGTTAGTAATTTACAAAAGTAGGTTGGTTGTACCAAGTGTTGTCTTGTGAAATGATCATATTTCTTTCATTGAAATCATAGACCGATCTAAATTAGATCACAATCGGAAGTGTGAAAGAACTAGAAGCCCTTTTCACCTTAATATGGGACTCCTTAGCAGTTAGCACCCACGACAGCTCAAATGGGAATCAATGGAAGTCAATAATATCCACAACCCTTTACTGACAATTATTATTCTCTTTAGTGAAACTTAGTAGAACATTCACGTTGGGTACAATATAATCGTTTTAGAAATTATTTGATCATTTACTTTCATAAGTAGAGCTTTAAGCCTTTATTTACGTGATTATTTTTGAATTGGTCACTTAAAATGTAAATAAAAAACTAGCTAAACGGAAAGTGTGATACAACTCAGGCTTGATGTCTAAAGCCTTATTTTTTTGCAACCGATCCGCGCTTCATGTCAGGACCTAGAGGAACAAGTGTTCCAATATAACTAAGTTGAGTCATCATGATATGCAAGTCTGACCACTACGTCAGAGTATTAGCTGTGGTTGCGTAAACAAGTGCCAGTCACATTATATCTATTTATGTACACCACATCATATGCAGGTAAATTAGATCAATGGAGAAAAAAATCTTTTCAACTTATTATTATTTGAGAGGTAATAAATGTTTGTAAACAAATAGTCATTGATCATCTTTATATAACTTTAGTAATGAAAGCGAATGATGTCAATAATTATAAACCGTTTTGACTGAAGGTCAGTGTAATGAACGTACACTTTTATCTTTCTATTGACTAAAAGTCCGAAAGACATTCTAAAATAATGTAAACACAACTTATCTCATTCTGGTGAAATCACTAACCGACCAAAGTTAAACAAATATTGAAAATTTAGAAGTATTAGATTGTGTCGAATTCGATATAGGTATCCACTAAAGACAATGAACGACAAACGTGCAGTATCGCGAATTATTTGAAGCCAAACATAGGTCATTCTATGTTGATTCGATAATCTAACAATAAAACTCTCACTGTGAAACTTGAAGGTCATGGATTGTCTACTCAATGAAGACTTGGATACGCACTATGTAGGAGTAACGTACTAGAACGAAACAGCTGTCCAACGTTTCTTGGTTTTTAATCATAGTCTAACTTACATTGATTCTTGACCTCAACAATATTAAACAAATTACAGAAACCCTTGTACTGATAATCATTAAATTTTCTGTAAAATTGTTTTCAACTTATACTAATGGGGAAATACGTATTTCAGAGCAATACTTGATGAAAAGCGTGAGAATCATTTAAGAAGAGTATCCAGTTATTTAAGAACAGGACGTAATAGACCATATTACAAATCATTTAGTGAGGTAATTAACGATATTTATAACCATTAAATTAGTCAGATACATGTAACTACATTTATTACTATTAGAAATTATATACATTTATAAGAAGAATGTTAAGGTATGAACATATTATTTCGACAGTTTCTGCCAAAGAGATCGTTGCGTAAAGTGTTGAGACGTGAACTGATAACTTGAATCTATCAAAACAGCTGAACTTTCTTGATTTTATGAGAATTCAATTCTATTTCAGTGTTAATTTTTCACTAACCAGTGAGAAAATTTATGAAAGGATGACCTGACCATCAACAATATTGGTTTCGCTAAGATTTCTGATTTGTGTACCTTAGTTAAGCCATACCAGTAGGATAATAGGGATCCTTATGCCGTAAATTCGCTACAGACGGAATGGTCGATTTAGTTTTTTATGAAGTTCCCTAAACTTCATCGATTCCGTTTTCTATTGCGGCCGTTACTTTCATATGAGAGTGGTACATAACAAATCTCTCAAAGGGATCTGAAATCGATATTACTTTGCTTATAGGATTGTTTTATCTATAGTTATCACATAAGAACTAAAATCTCGATCACGTGCCACAAGTGTTCAATCATTCAAATATTTTATCAACACATTTTGACTGCCGTTTCTTAGTTTTGGATTATGTTTAGGAATAAGTTACATCTAGTTTCCTATTTCGACGCCATAGGCAAATTTAAAACTTAATGGATTAGTACGACTTGTGAAATATATATATGGAATTTCGGTCTGTTGGCATTCGTCATTTTACTAAGTTTCGCCAAATGACAAGTGTCATGATTGTCTAATTCTTCTTACTCCTGACCGCATCCCAGAGACTAAATTGCCTAGTGGCCACTAGTGACTCGTTAAAATTTAGTCAGTATTAAAGGACTAGACAAATTCGATGTTGGCCAATACTCAGTGATCAGTCAGTGATCAAGTCCAACAAGAGGACAGTAACTCAGTGATAACACTTTGGACTGTAGAATTGGATGGTAGAGGTCCTGATCACAAACGAAGTATCAATCCCCACAACATCAAAGGTATTTATTGCTGATCTGTACTAATTGGTTCGAAAATTAGGTCTAGAGTTTCTTCTTGGCTATCTCCAATCACCTAGCAATTCAACTTCTGCTTGTTGGTGATAATCGCACCTTACTTTTACTACTATTGTATTATAAGTAGAAAATGTTGAAGTGGGATGTTGTTTATGGATAATTCAGTGGTTTGTATCAGTCACAAATGACATATATGATTAGTGAACTAACCACCGTTTTTCAAAATAAATTAATAAAATATTTGATTTTTCGTTTTACAGATCGTTCAATATTTAAACCAGTTAAGTCAAACGCGTCCGTATATGACGGTGGAAGATTTTGGTTATACAGCCGAAGGTCGACCAATGAAGGGAGTTACGGTGAGTATCGTAAAATTCGTCAGAGTTACTTTTCACTTACAGGTAGTTAGAACATTTTGTAATGCAATAAAATTTTAAACGTCAGGTAAACTAATTTCATATCTTACTAAAAATTGTGATGGGTTATAATTACATACCGTTTAAGAGTTCCGAAACTGTAGATCTGTTACATGGAAAGGTTTTGTGTTTTGTAATGCAGGAAATCAGGTAATCAATAAAAAAGAGTGGATTAAAAATCGATCGATAAACAAAGTTAGTAGCGTGATATAATGAGAGCTTACAAGACTGGATTATCGACGAATATCGTCGTGTCCATTGATGTTGAAAACGAAATCACCAACCAGAACAGTAGGTCTTTTGCCTAATTAAACAAAGTTCTTGCACACAAAATAACAAGTTGGACTATGAACAAGGTGATCTTGTATGCTGTTAGAGGTACAACGGTGATTGCTAATACTCGGTAACCCATAGCATGCAAGGATAGTTCTTGTTGATGCACCTAAAAAAGAAACTGAATTAGGAGTGTTCTTAGAGACCTGAGAGTATGGCCACAAATTCAAGGGGACAACTGCCTGACTTCGGTTGCACGCAACCTTTTTAAAAGTAGTTTTAGTCCCTTCTAGGTCTTACCTCCGATCGTAAGTGAGATGTGCTATGCTCTCAGTCGATAGTCTTGTGAGTTCCCCACCGATTTTAAGGAGGCAGCATCACCGTGGATGTTGAATGCCTGAAGGAAATACCCGACTGCAGTCAAACCCTAAAATTTCGGCAGAATGATTTTGTCCTAGGACCAGTACTTTGTCGCCCTTAACGTTAGACATCTCCAACCAACTTACCCATTGTGTTAAGACCTATAGGAACTGGTGTTCCAGCAAATGTAACTAGATTTAGTCATCAAACCATCCAAGTGCTATCACTATGTCAAGGTAGTCTTAACGGTGAGGTCTCGTTTGTTCAGTAGTTTAACTTGAAACTAAACATAACTATCTGTTACGAGCTATAACTGGTTGTCACTCTTGGATTTCACCCACTTGTCATTGACACTGAAATCACTGTTTGGCTTATTAGGAATATCCTATTCGCTATAACGTATTATTTTTGGTGAAAGTGTAACTCAAGCCAATGGACAGAATATTTATCAAACATGTACACATACCCTTCACATCATGCTTTTTGTTTTGCAGTGAGAACTGTCTTCTCTTCTGATCTTTGAGGGCTTTACCTACGCCGTGTTTTTGATGCACAGAAACTCTTCTCTCCGTCTGACGACTGTGACAGCATCGAGGCCACGTTACGCTCAATACTACGTAAGAGCAACTTCGTGAGTAGCATCTACCGCAGTGTTATTCATCGAAGACCAATCTCGTTTGAGGTACTAATAAAGACTAAAGTGCATTGGACAATTGTTTTGTATGGAAATCATCGGTTGTGAACGAATACGATCTTACTACAGACCGAATTCAGGGCGTTCAGTTCTTGCGAACTCGTAGTTCTAATCACAAAGCGTTCGTTTTAAGACTAGAGGATTTTATGTCCAGTCATTCGAGGGACGGTGGGCACTTCCTATACATTAAACCAATCTCCATAAAATCACTTCCGAAAAACATGAAGGTTTTACTTTCGTTAGCAATAAAAACATGATAATTTATTACATCCGTAATAAATTGATAATATGTATTAATTTGTATTAAGATATCATCAGATTCGACAAGACCAATAATCTGGATTGATGCCGGTATTCATGCAAGAGAATGGATTGCACCAGCAACAGCATTAAGTATAATAAATAAGGTAATTGTTAAATTTTGTTTCCTAATAATAATGAGTAAATTTAAATTTATTGTTTAAATATTTGCCTAAACAGATAAACATTGGTACAAGGAGGCTTCAAATAGATATGCGTTACATACTGCCCGGGTGTCCAAACCGAAGCTGATGGTTTTCTCAGAGGGTCACTCCCGGAGCCGTTAACCTAAAGGTCTGGTCCACAAGGCAGTGGAGCACCGTAAGGAGATGCAGCTCCAAGGTAGCCGGTGACCAACATTAGGTATATACACCATTTGCTTCCTAAGTATCCTGGAGCCCGTGTGCACCATCGGTTCGGAATCAGGGTTTTCCAACTCCCTAGGTGGATCGTTTGTATCCACCAACCCGGTTAAAGCTCTGGACATTTGTTTCTTGTCCTCTCACCATAAACTGGTTTGATTGGATCTCAAAATTTGCATTTTTACATTCGACTTTTACTTTTTTTTTTTAAATTCTATCAGGCTGTTCCATCTTCATTTTGATAAAGAATTTTAACTTCTGAAAAAAGACATCATTTCTATTCAAGTGCCGTGCTATACTCCTGACTGTGAATAGATATTGAGATATGAAGTTTATTAAATTTTTTTATGATGACGTAGTAATGCAAGAAATCAAAATGAAGTCGTTAGGTGTCATGACAAAAGAAATAATGTGCATGTCATTAAAAGTAAACTGGGAAAAACTGATAACTGTTTTTAATAGTTGATAATAGTGATCATTGAACTTCAAAGCCAATCAGATGTTTAATAAACAAGTAGTAAACTGATATTTGTTTTCGTATTAGAATGAGTTATTTTAACACATAGTTTGATCTTGTAATAATCGTTATATACATGTAAACATATGGATAAATCATTGTGACAGGATAATGAATAGGGTATGTACTAATCACGCTAAACGCCAAGGATTGCTGAATGGATAATCGTTTACTCTTTCTTAAATTAGTAATAATTTAAGAGAAAGAAGGAAATAATATTTATGCCTGGGTGATTTTAGAAACAGTAACTTTTAATATGAAAGTGTTGTTTTATTTCTCTTTGAAAAGGGTGTCCATAAACGCAATATTTTATTCATCAGTACAGACGTCTATAGTTAAAAGAGTAATTATTGAGTAATTCACCAAATCTATCATAAGAAAACTTTCCAACTACTCATTGTCCACTCTATGTAGTTGAGCAGTATATAAATATGATAAGAAAACTCTGTGTATGTAATAATATAAATCAGTTATTGTGTTTGGGAGGTGCACGGTAAGCTTTTTGTTACGTAATGTTAATAGCAAATGTTATGTAAGTATGCAATGAGACCAAATCATTATCTTAATTTCTCAATTTAATTTCTAAATGACAACGCAAACGTTATTAATATTTGAAAAATGAAATATTGAGGTTTGCAAAATCATCACTTTTAACTGCACATCATGTAGTTCATCGTAAGGTAACTTATTCAACATATTAGTGACATGTGGTGTACTGCATAAATTTTTATTATTAACGTCTGCATTCATTTTTTCAAATCACTGGATTTGCGTGTTAAACATATTAGAGGGACACTCACGAATTCTATGTACATATTTGTAATATGTGGATCTGTTCATATCGAACATGAAACAGCTAAACGTTACAATAACGACCATTTTTATGAGTAATTTAAATAATGGTTGTATTAAGTGCTAATTAGCAGGCTTAAGACTGATAATACATTTCTCGGTCGATTAGACTGAGAAATGCTAATAAGATCAATTGTATCTACTGTTATTTAGCTATACGAACGTTAAATTTCAATGTAACAAATAAAATCCTACATTTTTCCAGCTGAACAATCTGAAATATATTGAAGCATTCTAATTGAAGTTTGTATATACCATTATTAAACAGATTCATGTTCATTTGACGGTAAAGACATTTTATAAACCATAAAGAAGTATTATTCATGTGTGAGCTATAGTCAGTGTTAGTTCGTCTGACATTCCCCATAGAAATAATTTTGTTGCAATGATGATCTGATTTCAGTACATAGTTTTCAACTTACAGTAAAATAATTCAATGTTAATCATAACTGAAACTTATTCCTATGAAGTTTAAGTAAACACTTAAAAGTCAAACAATATTTTTATCAGTATTAGCTGAATTGTATTACGCAGGAAAGGAGATCACAGGTACTAATAAAGAGTAAAATAGTTATTTCATTTGATTCACAGTTAATCAAATGGTATGTACTGAGATAATAAATAATACTTATCGATGGATACTAACACAAATTAGCCTTAGCGCAAGTAATAAATGTTTGGTTATTGTAAGACTGAACGTTTTGTTTTGTTATCATGTGTGAAGAACACATGGCCTAGTGAATGTCTTACTGAAATAGTACAAAACGCAAAGGATACAACTGTTAAACTTATTCGCAGACAATTAACGTTAAACACAATGACGGCTGAATTGTAATTGAAAATACAGAAAATTCGTATGAAATGCGATTGACAAATTTATTGGTACAATTTGTAACGAATAAAAGAAGAAAATTTAGATCAATTGGTGCGTAGCCCTGAAAAGGGCTTTCACTTTGACTCTTCACATTTCCGCTTGTCACGAAAAACGACACCATTATACTTCAGTCATCGCGCTATATATGACACAGTGGAATCTATGGAATTGTGGTTGTGGGTTTAAGCCACAAGACAAATGAAACAACGTATTACAGCAACGAAATACCCAAGCGCCTACAACAGCAGTTTTACTTGGTTGCTGAGCATGAGTGCATATGTCACACAGTCTGTTGTCGTGTGCATGTTCGTCTGTGTTGTTGTGTCTGTCATTAAATTCTTCCGAGTTTATTGAAAAAACATCCTCTTCTTCATTACTTGACGTGACATCCAAATCCATGTTTGTTTGACAATTGAGACTACTTGTCTGCTAGATTCCTAGCATTTCTCCATCCATGGAAGCGGAGGCCTCAATCTGACACTCTGGTGCTGCAGATAACGTCAACAGTGTTTGAGCATCGTTCCATAGACCAGTTGGTGCATGAAATTATAAACACCATGTAAAAACATCTTGCGGCTTCAGGCGCTTCCCATAAGATTGGTAAACGAAGTGGACAATATTGAATGCAGCTATCCTCGAGATCAGAAGAGGTCGCACTGTTTCCAACTCCATGTCAGTTAACCCGCTCATCCAAGAATCGTTATCGTACCTCAGGGAATTGCACTCATGATTGTGATGCACGTTCTCACAAACAATAGCCCAATAACCTTCAATAAATCTACATTAGATGGAGGCCGAACATTGAGTGTTCAATGCAGTCCTTGATGGACATTATAATAACAATATTCAACTTACCTCCTTTGTCTAATTGTCTATAAGGATCTTCTAGGTGTTCTACGACCATTTCTCCTACGCACAAATTTGATATACGGCTTCTGATTCTTATGGAAATGAGAACCGTGAACTGCATAATGGCAGTACCTCGTCCTTTCATAATTTCTGGTGGTGATCTTTAACGCTTCAAGCGATTGGAACGCTACCAGATACAGAATACCCAATAATACGTTGTCCGTGTCCATGACAACGTTAAAAACAATGGAGCTTGTACTTTGTGAGTTGCTTACGTTTACAATTTGGAGAAAATGTTTTCAGTCAAGAGATATTTACCACTTATATCAATTTTCTGAAATGATTAACCAATTATTACCACTTTGAAACGAATCATTTTATTGGACGAAACGGGATTGAAAGTTTCTAACTGGTGTGAAAAATCTTTTATTTAAAAAAATATAAAAATGACCGTGCGATGAATGGTATTCACAATTCAATATTCAGCAAACTGTCTTCTTATTCCAACGCATTAATTTTAAAAACTGTAAGTGCTCAGCTTAAAGTTAACCTGTTTCAGATGTATTTGAGGAAAACCGTAAATGGCATTTTGACAAAGTATTCCATTTATTACTGAACATATATCAGTAGGAGAGTTGTAGGGGTTATTGAGTGGTGCTGAAATCCCTAAACGGTTCATGATCTCAGCTACCTTCAGTGATTTCCACAACCGTTATAAGGGTAATTATCAAATGCTCTCTAGTGTTTAGCTTCAAGACGTTATTCTTGGAGTGCTAGTAAGAAGCTGTGACCAGCGTAGCTCAGCAATCACTTGTATAAGACAGTTTTACAGTGAAGATAATGGGAGATGGTCTCACAATATGACGAATCGATTAAACCCAGACTTGTACATCACCGGACCCCAGCTCAGTCGTCCCCAGGCTAGGCGTTCACGCTCGTTACAGAAGATCCTAGGTTGACCCTTTGTTATGGAAACACGAATGTGTATGAATGAAGAGTCCCATACTAGACTGAAATAAATGTTCAATGCTTCCTAGTTCTCAAGGACTGCCTGACAGGATTAGTTCGTGATTTAAACTGTAACTTATTTTATAATTTAACTGTACAAATAATTGTCTTTTTTAATTTCTAGCTTATGCGCCCATCAGGACAAACACTATTAAAACATTTTCAATTCTTCATAGTTCCTCTAATGAACCCAGATGGATATGAATATACGAGAACAAAGGTATATTTTTAAATTATTTTTTAAAGAATACGATAAGAAATTCAACATTTCATTCATTTATTGAGTGACCGTTATACTAATAGCATTTGAAAAAGTATTTCATTAAAAAAACCACCAGTCAGAGCATTGTTGAAAAGTAGAAAGAATAGAAAGGTCGTATCAGTTTATCATATAACACCTCAGTATTGTGAACCTCTAGTGTTACTAATGGTTGGACACTGTACCTAAATACCTTACAGATTGCAAAATGTCGAAATTCAGCTCGTTGCATAAATCAATATTCACAATTTCCAGATATAGTGTGTTGAATACCCAATAATACTTACTTAAACTGTTGGTATCGAATATTTTGTAGAGAACTGTATATACATTCCATTCCAAGGTGGACAGAGCATAATTCTGTCATGATTCAAATTTTCTCCTGTTCTAAAAAAGAATCGAATTACGAAGTGTATTTGATATTAAAGTTTTTCCTTATAACTGGGAAAAATATTGAAAGCAATGAGGAAAATGTTCTGATTATTCTATTGTGAATTTCATGGTACATGAATAATTAATACCTTTTGGTTTTTCTTTATTTTTGTTCATTTGAATTTTTAGTTCCATATAAGTGGAATAGCATAAGTCTCATTGTTTGTACAGTTTATTATGCTGAAAATTAACTTGGTTATTCAACAGGTCATTAGTTGATTCCAAACAACTATATTAATCAAATAAGAATTTTGAAGTATTAAATTCGTAAATCTGATAATATTATTTATTTATTTGAACACATAAATACTGGTACAAGGGGCAACAGTTACATATACGCCACACAAATCTCATTTCATGTGTGTGAGAGCTGTGATAGTGCCCAGGTGCCCAACTCGAAGCAGGTGGTTTTCTTAGGAAGCCACACCCGGAACCTTTGATCTGAAGGTCTGATCCACAAGGCAGTGGGGCATCGTAAGGAGATGCAGTCACATGGTAGCCGGTGACCGAAAATTGGTTCATACGCCATTTGTTCCCGCAGGATACTGGAGCACATGTGCACCATTGGTTTGTGATCCGGTTAAAGCGCCTGACATTCGCTTTTCGTCCTCTCAATTTCATAAACAACACCCCCGCCACGAGAAGGCAATGAATAGGACTTCCCTGGCAGAGGCTATATACGCGTGGCCGTGTGGGAGCATTTCGAGAAGGAGAGCGGACTCTCCTCACTCTCGGCCGTATCAGGGCATTTGGGAGCATCTGATAATGAGTCTTAAGATAATCATGAAAATGTTTGAATTTTCTTTTAACTACAGTATCGTCTATGGCGTAAAAATCGAGCTCGAACAGAAGGTGAAGCATGCATCGGAATAGACTTAAATAGAAATTTTCCATTTAAATGGGGTGGTAAGTTTCATGTTATATTTTACTAAGTAAATTATCCTACAGTAATTTTCCATGTGGCACAAAAAATATGATTTCAATAATTCCTTAATGAGATTGTGAATACTTGAACTACGAAAAAACAGCAAAACAACATGACAAACCGAATATTTCATGTTGAATGAAGTTGATTTCTGCTAATCTACGTTGAACTGATTCCATGATGGTTATGCAAACTAGTTAAAATTTAAAAAACGTGAGGTAAAGTTTCGATTAGTTTTACAGAAATCCGAATTCTATTAAATATTTATCTGGATGTGATACGTAAACTGCATTCATTTGAGGTTATCAAGAAACTTTTTTTATTAAGATGAGGTTTATCTTGGAAACGTTCTCATCTTGCATAAACTGAATATGTAATTTCACTATTGTAGTTACTGCTTTATACAGAATTACTAAAATGGTAATTGATAACTTCTGGTTTTTATCAAATAAATATCTTAAAAAAAGTGGTAAAGTGTTGTTTTTTTATATTTAGGGAGAATGTCTCGATTTTATTTCTACTGACGGTATATTTAACCAAATTTAATTAAGAATAATGAAGTTCTAAAGACTACACAACTCAGTAGCTTTGAATGTTCTCAGTGATAATTCTGCTATACAAAGAATTCTTTTAAAAAGGTCAAATGCATCTATTACGTGAATCTGTATCTTGTGATGTTGAGCCAATTTATTGAAACTTGATTAACACAAGCAATTACAAGAATAAATAAGTGTAAAACAATTTGAAGAGGTATTTTGGGGACCAGTTTAATTTATTGTTAGTATTTGTCACAGACTGTTCTCATCTGGAATGGCACTAAAAACCAAAGAACACTGTACAGCTATTTCGTTCAGGTTTGTGAATTCGCTGAAGTAATCACTTGCATCCCATGCTCTTTAGTTTTGAGTTGTACCCGAAATATGATCTAATTGAGGTAAGTTTACCTATAAATTAGACTAATATCCCAAAATCCTTTTCCAATAAACTAGAATGTTAGCTCACAAGCTACTTACTTCAAGGTGTTCCTGATGTTCTAATGAAAAACGATGACTAGTGAAGTTTAGACAAGTCAGGAATGAGGCAGTTGTTACCACTAGCAGTGGATGGTATTCGCACTGTATCAATAATTGATCGAAGTTTGGAAAAGTACAAACAATTGAAATAATATATTTATAATCTCACAATGAGACTTTACAAATATATTATTTCTATCATTATTAATCTATCCAATACTCGATTTATTCGAAATTACCAAGTAAAACCTTGGTAATAACATTTTGAAAACTATAAATAATTTTGTATTCAATTTAGTGTAAATTTTACCAATCGTTGCCTTTTATTTTGTAAACTTATAGTTGGAAATGGAGCGTCACCCCATTCATGCAGTGATACATATCGTGGAAATGAAGCAGCCTCAGAATTGGAAACACAAAGTATCATTAAAAAGTTAAAATCTTTACAGAAACAAATAATTTTATACTTGAGTTTACATTCGTTTGGTCAGTACATACTAACACCTTTCGGATTTTCCCGTTACAGTTATCCACCTTATTACCAAAAATTAGTAAGTCTTAATAATTCCAGTTTATGTTAATTATTAAGATTAGAGTTTATATACCCATGAGACTGTTCTAAGAATAAATTTGTTGCTTCCGTGATGTAAGGCATAGGAAAAAATATAATAGGAATAAAACTTTTTTCAATGAACGGTTTATTATAGTTATTCATTTACCATAGAAATCTACTTTTATTAACCAGTTGTCACTTACTTGACTCCTTTAAAAATTATTGCTTCCCATAAGTCTTTAATCTTATAACGCTAATACAAGTCATGCGAGAGAGAATCATATACCTTCATACTTGATAATGATCGTGTTTCACAAGTCAAGTGTACATATAAGGAAAACTAACAACAGCAAGCTATTTTTCTAAAACGATGAACAAATAAAAATATTGAGAAAAATAACCTTGAATTATGATTAATCGAAATTTTCATCGTCTTTGTTTTTGTTGTTGTTCTGAAGCTAATGATCTTAGAAGTTACCTAACAGAGTTCTTTACTAAGAAAACTCAAAGTTTAAGTAACATAATTGTTGGTAACCAGAAGATGCGAAATCAGTAACTGTTTGTAGATTTCTTATAGTAACCACTGTTGTTCGATAAGTTAAATTTGGGTTGTGATATCAGACGTCTTTTCTATTTAATTACATGAATCAGTCGTTTAATCGATCGGGTTGATTTACTGGAAATAACAACTAAATTAGTGAGTTCGTTTTTAAGGCCTTCATGCTCACTCTCATCTTACTATCGTCATTACATGCTTCAAAAAGAAGTGAGCAATTAAAATTTCACAGCAAATACACGTTAAGGTACATCATAGGCATTTAACTTGATAATAATAATTTTCTCAACTTCACTAGGAGATTTTTAAGCAAAGGTGAATAGTGGCTAGCAATGGAATCCAGGATGCATGTTTCGTCCTATTTGGGACTCGTCAGCTGGATGTACATGCATCCCAGAGCTGATGTTTACTCTGGGACTTGAAGATGCCTATGAAACTCAGTATCGTTAGAAACATTATTTGTGGTAACTAAAACAAAGGATTATTACTTACTACTGATGAAAAATCTCAGTGATTACAATTAAACCTACACTTACACTAAAAATTACCGGTGGAAGTTGAAAAATCAGCGGCAAACTAACTGCAAGCATTTCAAATAACACTAGATAAGACAAAGTGGTCAGTTGGTTTGTCTTCAAGTACATAAATATTTATTAGTTGCTAAACATCATCGCATATCTGGAGACTTTTAAACTACTGAAATCACCACATATATCAAATAATAACATGTATTTGATTAAGTTTTATATCCAGATCATTCGGTAATTCAAGTACATAATGATATGAACTAAATCTTTAAATTAAATGCTTAAAGTGACAATCCGTATAAATTATGAAGCATAAATTGTTACATAATACGTCCAGAGTTACTAAAATAACTGGACCGTTGATAAAGACATTTGTGGAAATAGCTGTTTCTATATGTTGAGGAGCGAATAATATAATTAACTAAACGTTTTAAAATGAATACCGATTGATAAAATTTTATTTGGACACAATGTATATGTAACAGCGCCGCCAATCAATCATATAATAGAGAACGCTTAGATCTCATAACATCTTAAGAAGCGTTTACTAAGTTCTTAAAATTACTTTCAATTATTCAATTAATTCAACTTGTCTACTGAGTTTGATATATGTTTATTAATATTTTTAGATGTCAATGGGCAAAAAAGTAAAGCAAATGATACAAAATCGACATGGTTATGTTTATCAAGTTGGTTCATCATCTGAACTTTTATGTAAGTGAATAATGCTTTCCGGTTAACCATTTCATATATGTTGAAGTTCAAATATTCAATAGACTTTATAGTCATAAATTTATTTTGAATTTATACAATGTTTGTCTACATACTACTGAATTTTCATTTTACAATAATTTATTAATAGAGTGGAAATAAGAATATTGATGCTTATTCAGTATGAAACTTAGAGTATCTTATCAAATCTGACAATAATATGCAAACTGAATGTTTAGTTTTGTGTAAATTACGAATAACGGAAACCAAACTTGAAAAATATCAAGATAGTCTGTGACGACTGTTGACTTATAGTTTACACTATAGATTGACCTTAATTAAACATTCATTAAGCAATCAAGAAACACTAAACAGCTATTCTCCCTAAGCTAAATATTATGTTTGTTGTTGTTCTAGACAACACTATTAGTATTAGTAACGTTAGGTGGTTACCTACAGTGAAATCTAGGACGCGTGTTTAATTCTGTTTGAGACTCGTCAACTGGTTGTTCCTTTACTATTGTTGATATTCAAACAAGGAATCGAACCTTTTGCTCCAAGCGCTTAACGCGTTATTCATTAAGTCGCGCCTAAACATAATCTGTTTCTACAGCTACAAGGAGTGATCACTGATGGAGTCGAGAATAATGACAATGAATGTACTTAGTTGCTAACGATAAATACGACCGATAACGCCGTTAGCGAAATACAATCTAAGACAGCTTATTGATCAGTACTTGAAAATGAATGAGTAAGATTCGACATGCTGGGGAATATTTATAGCTTGGGTTGAGGATTTCAGTGATACTGCCTTCTGGGAGCTGTATGGTTCGCTCATGAAACTGTGATTGTTCTTTTGCATCGTATCATGAACAAAAATTTCAGAGAGAAGTGAGTGATTAAAATGTTTCCACTAGTGGCTAACAACTTGTTCTGCTGACCTTTCTCGGTTCACAGATCATGACAGGGTGTTAGAAACAATAAAAATAAATATGCAAACAGCGGACGCCCAAATAAGAATTACTAACGTCAAGAGAAAGAACTTTTATTCAATTGTAGAAAACTTTCAATAGTTCATCTCTCTTTGAAGTATGTGCTGATGGTATGTTCTGGAGTGACAATTAAAGCATCATGACTAATTTATCAAAGTCAAAGAGTACAATACCTTCAAACTTTGGCATATAATTTTCGCTTTGAAAATATTCTTAATTGGCTTTACCTATTTAATGAGTTTTAAAAGTTTCAAGTATTTTAGCTTTCTTTTTTTATGTCTTTGATTTTTTTATTGGGCTCATTTCTGTTCTTCAGATGAAGCAGCTGGAGCAACGGACGACTATGTAGCTGGTGAATTAAAAATCCCATATGCTTATACAATAGAATTATGTGATGAAGGTCGTTATGGATTTCTTCTGCCACCATCATATATTGGACAAGTTGGAAGACAATTATGGACAGCGTTAACTGTACTCGCAAATGATATTATTCCTAATTAAAATTATAGTTTATCTTATAAATCTAGTTAATGAATAAATAAGTTAGTCTAGTTTAATAAATTGTATTTATTTCATAGTTATTGTAATATTGTTCTCTACTATAATAAATTTATCATTATATCTTATACAGTAAATTTTTAATACGTCTATAGTGTCATTTACTAAAGTTGTACAATTTAGTTTAAGGTTAATTAACATGCATATACGATACTTCTGTTACGTCATTCAAAAAGGAATATATTATTAATGAAATTTAACTTTTATGAGCTTCCATAATAAAACGTTTACTCTAATAAGTAATTAATTGAAATCTTATTGCATTACCAAAGTAATTTATGGATTTTTTAAAATAACAACAAGCAATTTCTAATGTTATTTAAATTCCTTTCTAACTTTCAGTGCTTACAATCTGTAAGATACAACTAAAAGAATAAAGTCTAGTGTTAGACTGTTTTTAGTACTACGACAGATCTTTAAAAGATGGTATTATTTTGAAAATTGTAAACTATTTAGGCCTCGTTTCAGACAATCGTATTCAATAATTTCTTAGGTCATATCGATGCAAATTTTTTTCTGTCAAGTTTAAAAAGCCAACTTAGTTTATGTGACGAATGTTCGCCTCCTAATTCATATGCAGTTGATTGAATGGCTAATCTGCACATGAATTCTTGTAACCATCTTTCAAATAGTAATTTATTTGTCATTGTGATACGACTCTCTAACAGCGCTCAAGACCACTGCATTCATAATCAGTCTTCCTCTTCAATTCCTATTATTCCCTCTACGTCGACTTTCAACTCTGAACTTCCTCTTTCGGCTTCCTCCTCAAGTGTCACCATGGCCAACGACACTAGTGCGCGATACACTGTTAATTTATTATTTTATTTACTTGAACAGATAAATATTGGTACAAGGGGGCGCCATAAATATATATATATATATATATATATATATATATATGCCACACAAAACAATGAGAATGGGAAGAGATACAAAAAGTTAAGGTGTGTATAAGAAAAAAGAACAATAACGACCACAGATTAGTGTGAGGTGGTGTAATAATAATAATACAAATACTAATACTAATACTAATAATAATAATAATAATAATGGGGGAAGCGGAAATGTACAACCAGAAGAATTCTTTCAGTTCAAGAAGTTACGATCACTTTTTATGAAGAAAGTAAAGGAAGCCTACAGCAGGATCGACTCTGGCTTCTAGTCCGAACCATTTCTGATAACTTCGCTAGACACCGTGTTGCACCATTTCAGAACCCTAACCAGGGAGTCAGAAAGGACCAACAGGAGCCAGTCCTTTGCAGCTTTCTTTGATATCACGACACCATGTCATACACTGACCAACTCTCCGCTTCTTTCGACCAGTCCCAGAGTCGGCAAATAATGCACGACGTGGAATTCTCTGGGACGACATTCGTAGAACATGTCCAAGCAACCGAAGTCGATGTTTCAAGATGGTGACATCGATTGCACTATCGTCTCTGCACCTGAACACACGATGCTGAACCACTGCATTACTGACATGGTGTTGCCACTGGATGTCAGCAATCCTTCGGAGACAGCGATGATCGAACACAGAGAGTCTTCTAACGTCCTCAACTCGGAGAAGCCAGGTTTCACAAGCATAGAACAAAACTGCTCTCACCGACGCGTTGTAGATCCGACCTTTTACAGCCAGACTAACATCACGAAGGCGCCAAAAGTGGCCCAGATTGGCATAAGCCGCTCTGGCTTTCACTATACGTGCATTGATCTCATCACTCACGCTACCACCGCCACTTATGTAGCTACCTAGATACACGAACATATCGACTACTTCTATCTGCTCACCATCCAGGGTGAGTACAGGATTACGATCCTTCCAGACTTGTAGAAGTACTTTGCACTTCGAAGGTGCAAAGCACATACCATATATACGGACACTGATTGCCAACTAATTAAGTGCGGATTGCATGCCTTGGGCATTATCGCACAGTAAGACAATATCATCCGCATACTCAAGGTTGAGAAGTCTTTCTCCAGGCAACAGATCCACACCACCATTACTTACATCCATCAGAGCTGTTTCCAGAATGTCATCGATGTCAAAGTTGAGGAGGAATGGTGAGATTGGGCAACCCTGCCTAACCCCATTGCTTTAATGGAACAATGGAGAGAGGTGGTCGTATGCCCTCACTCTGCCTGAGATGTTTGTATATAGGGCTTTTAGGATGTTAATAAACTTCTCAGGCACACCCTTCTTCAATAGACAATCCCAGAGAACAGTCCTATCCAACGAATCGAAGGCAGCCCTAATGTCAAGAAACACTAACATTGTTGGCCTTTGATAAGTATGACAATGTTTTAACATTTGGCGGAGGGTGAAGATATGATCAATACATCCTCAACCAGAACGAAACCCAGCCTGCTGCTAGCGAGTCAATCTCTCTCGGGTTTTGAACAACCTATGAAGTATGACGTTGCCAGTTCCTTAGCCAGAAAGTCACCATCATCTTTAAAAAGAGCTGAAGGTAAGTCATTTATGCCCAGTGATTTGTGGCGTTACGAGAGTTGAAGTTCCTTGAGAACTTCCGCCCCATTTGGCGAATCAGTTGTCAACGGCCATGGAGGACAGGGCTGTCTGACCGATGTTGCCGGAGCAGCAGGCCAGTTGAACTGCCCTCCGAAAAATTCTGCCCATCTTCCAAGACGTCGATGGATTTTGGTGATTAGCATCCCGTCATCCTCACAGATTGTTTCACTCACATCAGACTTCTTGCTGCCAGTGGCTCGGATGAGTTGCAGCTGCTGCCTCCAGCTCATTAGCACGCTTCGACCACCAGGCTTCTCGGTCCTTACGCAATCTTTGCCCGAATTCATTACGTAACAGCCTTCGTTTGTGGTCAAACTCACGGTCATCCGTAGCAGACCGACCCAGTGCCTACAAGCTAAACGTTTTGCGAAGCCGCAAGCGGCTTTACTCTCCATTTTCATGACGTCATGCAGCTGCAACCAATGCTCATCTATGCTTTTCTGTGGGATGATAGCTAGCCTAGAATCTAGCGCGCTTTGATACTTAGTTACAAGAGAAGCTGCAGTCAGTTTACGGACATCAATAGGTTTAAGACGGTGAATTCATTGGCCACTGAAAAGTGAGGTAAGATTGACGCAGACCAGGGCATGATCAGAGTCCAGCTAAGTACTCCAAAAGGAGCAGCAGTTTTGTGCACAACCACGCCAGCGGTAGCTGATGGCGATGTGATCAATCTGAGTCCAGACTTGAGGCACAGAGGGAGGACGCCAGGTGGCACATCGGCAAAGACTGTGCCAGAAGTTAGTGCTAGCCAGAAACAGGTTGTCGCCTGTGCACAATTGCAGTAGACGGTCCCCGTTATCTGTCCTGCGACCAACGAGTCCCCACCGACCACCTAAACGACTCTCTTCTGTGCCTAGACTCCCGACCTGAGCATTCAAGTCTCCGGCTAGTACTACAATATCTGTCGAACGCACTTTCTGGAGAAGATCACTCAACTGGTGGTAGAATTCATCCTTGGTTGCATCCGGGCTGCAATCTGTCGGGGCATAGGCGGAGATGACGAAAAGACATCGTTTCTCACGCCGATTTCTTCTCAATTTGATGGAACTTTCTAATCTAACAGCACATAACCGACTGTTAATGGGGATTTAATTGACTAGTGCTGCCTCAACTCTAGCGTTTAGTGCGACACCAACGCCAGCAAGACCAGACGAAGATGCCTTATGGTCCCTGGATAAACGCACGTAAAGCAAGCTTTTCGAAGCGACAGATGGAGAGCGAATTTGTAGTACTTCACCAGAGTCTTGAATACATGTCTCGGATAGAAAACAAACGTCGATATTAAGACTTTCTAAAGACACAGCCGGCTCTATCTTTTGTCCGATCTGCATTAGTGAGCGAACGTTGATGGAAGCCAGTTTAAATGGTGCATGTAGTTTCAGAAAAACTCTTGAGTATTCGTCTTCGGTGGTAGCATTCAATTTTCGACCAGTCGTTGACTCGAGATCTTTTAGGTAGAACCGAGTTTCTACCATGAGCGATCTGCTGTATAAGTTGAAAAATAAGGATACACAGAGTGGGAATAAAAGTGAGTGAATAAGCGACGTGGTAAAGATAATAATAATGTGAATTGTTTGACTAATAATCGAAGTGTGAATAGAATTTTCAGTGACTATCGTCATTTCATTCTACTCGCGTGTGAGCTGTGATACTGCGCGGGTGTCCGAACCAAAGCAGGCGGTTTCCTTAGAGGACCACACCCCGAGCCTTTCACCCATAGGTCGAACCAACAAGGTAGTGCGACGTCGTACGAAGATGCAGTCACATGGTAGCCAGTGACCAACAATTGTTTCGTACGCCGTTTGTTCCTTCACGATGCCGGAACCCGTGTGCACCGTTGGTTTGTAATCAAGGTTTTTCAACCCCCCAGTTGGACTCACCGTGGCCACCGACCCGGTTAAAGCGACAGACATTCGTTTTTCGTCCTCTAAGTTTCGTGAACAACACCGCCGCCACGAGAAGGCAATGAGTTTGACTTCCGTGGCAGAGGGTGTATAGGCGTGGCCGTGTGAGAGCAACTCGCCTGTACCATGTCTACTGAAACCTCGCTCCAAACTATACATTGGAGCCTTCGACGTACTCAGCCTATGTCAAGTCGGCCAGCAAACCTCCTTGGCTAAAACTCTACAATCTCGTACCATTGACGTATGCTGTCTCTGAAACAGGCATACAGGATCCTAGTGTGCTCATTCACTTAACCTCACCTCGCGAAAACGGAGAGCCGACAAGGTACTCCCTCCGTGTAACTGGCGAACCGATGGCTCGTTCTCGTAGACCGGCAGGTGTAGGCATAGCACTAAGTACGAGGGCAGAAAATGCACCATTCGGATGGATCCTTGTTTACAGTCGCCTATGTGCTGTTCGGTCAAACGGCTGAGTAAGAACTTGGAAGAACAGGAACACAATCGTTGCCTTTGCATCTTTTTTGTCTACGCTGCCATTGTTTACAACCCGGATGAATTGAACGATAAAGTTTACAGAAATCTTTCTGAACTTCATAAAGCTAAACGCTCAGACATAGTACTTGCAGCA